CACTTTCCACTTTACGTTGATGTAAATGCTGGCCATCGTGATCGTAAAAGAAGCATAATCGTGAGCTCCAGGTCCCACTGAACTAAACGTGTAAGATGCGATCTTCATGTAAAGAAGCCAAATAGTAACATCCCAAAGTTCTAAAACACAGTGATTGGTCTACCCGCTAGATACTTCAACAGAGCCCCTTTTGACTGAAAACAATCACGATGACCAAATCTTCCAAAGGTGCGAAGTGGCACCTTTTAATGGACTTGATTTGTATGCATACCAATTTCTAATACGAGTCTATGTATTTATTCAAAATTCACCTGAAGTAATAATTTTCAATGGTATAGGACATGAAAAATCAACTGCTTCTGATGGTTCATCAAATCAGAATCTGTCAGCCACATGCATTCCAAACTACATTATATAAGTTTTCTATCGATTTGAACGCCCAGATCATATTGCCACATCCTTTTCAAGAACTTGAATCATTAAAAAGGTTTTGTAGACCACATTTCGTTCATTACCTTGCTCTTAAATGCCAGGTTTACGACCAGTCGAGTTCAAAATTTTATTTTGATTTCTTCCGTATTATAATCACTACATTTGGAGGATTTGCCAAACGAACTGTATTTGGTTTTGGCACTATGTCGACATATCGGTCGCGTGGGTGTTTTAGATGGTTTCTGTTCAGGTTACTGGTTATCTGTTCGCCGAACTTGCCAATATGTTTGCAGATTTATCGTCATCAGTCGTGGCAACAAGGTCAGCACCTAGCTATATGGAAGGAATCGTTCTTTTCATCACCTAACTTAGTTGTGGGCTGCGTCACTCTCTTAAGTACACTAAGGTGGATTACGCATATTGTAGGCCACCTATGGCTGTCAATCCCATCCAACTTGCTTCGCGTCCTGACCTCGGTACTCTTCCAGCGGAAGGACACCTGAAATTTTGGCGTTTCTGGTATCGACGCAAAACATTTTTTAATTAGGATGTAGGGTTTCCTAGAAGGAAACAAGGAAACTTTTTAATCCCTTGGAGGTCGATATTTTGAAAAGTCTATCATTGCATTATCCTTAGCCAGCATTTGAGGATCTTGTGGATTGCAGTGTTCCCCATGTTTTTCACTCAAACGACTTGATATTGAGGGGAGATTGATGTTTTTTTCCCTTATTTTCACTCAGTAGTCTTTCGCCTTCATAATGACTCTATAAGATGGAAACAGAAGTGAGTTTCCTGATCGTTAGAACTACTGGTTCTTGTCGTTGCACCAGATAGTTTATTGGAATCCCCAGTTTTCAGTAAAAGTGCCCACAACTCATTGGGTTGTTGATTAGTTTGTGACTTTGGTGGTGAGCGGATCAACCCAAATCAAACCTCGGACTAAAAACCACGGTGAACACGCGAATACTGCAAACCGGTTCATTTTTTTATCAATAACGAGCAGAAGATGCAATATGCTTATTAAACATCACCAAAGTAGACCCGTTGGAAGCAAAGATAATTCGACCATCGCCTAATCATCTGGCGTTTATCAAGCTGACTGATCAAGTGTTCGATAAAGTAATGGTTATACCTGTTCGCTGTAACCGCAAAAACATAAACCCAAAGAAGATCTAAGTAGAACATCGAAGGCCCCCCTGCGGCCGTTTCCGGATGATAAGTAAATAGCTCGTTATTGAATATTCATTTTGGAGCCGCTATCCTGCATTTGCAGTACTCAAACCTTACCACCTCAGTTAGCAATTTCGGCAAATGTAGTCAACAGGGCTAAGAACAAGTGAAAACACTGAGTGACTGTAATCGACTCTTTACATTCAGAATTAAGTCTTTTTTAATCGCATGGCCAGAATGTCATAGGAAACGTGCACGTCCGCTTTCAGTTCGTATCCTCCAACCTGTTCAATAAGATGCGTTTTCTCTTGATATTTCACAAAAAAATAGCTCGAAGCCAGTCCGGAACAATTCATAAAAGGTAACTTCAGCCAATTCAGCCAATTCATCGTAATATATCACCAAGCGCAATGAAATACCAAGAGATCTTTTACTCAGTGCCTTATTAGTAATAAATTTGGTGCTTTCCAGAAGTTACCCAGAGAGTCCTAACTGATTTCTAATCGGCTGCTTTATTTTAAGATCTATCCACCCTCTGCATGGTCTTATAAATACCTGCTTTACCCTGACGTGTTTCTTTGATTCCTCACATAGTTAAGCTGTTGGCATGATGTGCCTCTCTCACGTCCATTTTGCATAGTTTACGACTTTTAGTTAGCTTTCCCGAATTTTCTGCTGATATACGCTCATTTATTGCATTTACCACGAGTTTGCATTTTGAAACAGTTCCTTGACGAGGAAACAAGATGGCGGCATACAAGTTAATCAGATGTCTAGCATAATATTTTTAGTCTTTCCAGCAGATACATCCGTTGTGTACTCGATGGTTTGGTATCTACGATACTCTATAATAATCTTTTTTGAAGAAATTGGCCAGGGACCGAACTAACGTCTCAACCAGACTACAAACGCTTGCTCGGTAGGTTTGAACTTCATACAAGCTTTTTCCAATCTAATTATTTACGGGGCTGAATAGAGCATATTCCGCAAATGCTCATAATCACCTTTTCATTACAGATCGACAGCTTATCTGGCATTTTTTCACGCAATGAACTCATAATATCAACCCAAAACAAGTACGCAGTTATTTCAAAGATGGAGTCATCGAATGTCTGTCATACAATGTTTACCTACCATTCATGATATATTTATATCCCGCTCATAAAGCAGGGCCCCTACTCTCTTTCCAGTATACCGAAGTGTCTAGAAGTTTTAACTAGATTTCCATTAAGTAACATTGCCAATCACTACGATTTCTGTCTAAAGCTTTGATTTAATAGTCGGATCATCGCAATAGCCTTAGTTTTTAATCACTCGGAAGGGATTTCGTCGAGTTTCGCCTAAGATTTTAACACGCTCAGCCAAACATTGCACACTTTTGTGCGGCTTTTATCTAAGGGTTCTTTCCAGCCGCGTTGAACTCATAAGAACATGCTTGTTGCATCAATACTCTTATGCAAGTTCTTATCTAATTTTGAGTACCATATTAGCGATCGATAGCCGCTTGCAATACACATGAATCCAAAGCGTCGATAAAAAAGTCAGCCAAAAAATCAAAGTTTTTAGCTGATATCTCATCTTTTAACCAAAACAGATATACATTCAGAAGCTGGGAAGCACTGCACAGCTGTCTCATTCGTTTTGGGGTCATAAACAGTGCTCAAGAAATTCTTGGATGTTTAGACCCATGACCTCGCGGATACTAGTTTGAACAGTTGAACTTTCGCGTTCGAACGGCTAATCAGCAGTAAGAGCAAACTTAGTGCACTAACTAGCTGACTCGCACTGAGTGCGCATTGTTGATGATCCGGCACAAATACAACTCATTTACAGGCAGAATCTCAAGTGAAATTTCTTAGCTGCTCCCAGCTTACCAAAATGGCGAAAGTTGTGCTTTTGTAAGCTCTCAACTCCCACTGCAAGCAATACGACTTACGGCAACACACTTGTTCCACATTCTAACGACCTAATCGCTAACCCGAATTTCATCCAGGCGTCCAACACTAGGCACCTTATTGCAGTCATTGGCCAACGTGTATTTTGCAAAGTTCTTGGCTTTTCATTTTGGCTAAATCCTATGTTGCTTACAACTGTGTTTGACTTTACTGTTTGTTCATTATTCTATGTTGGCAAAATGAAAAACATCGGGAAAAGCTTACTCGGAGCTAGAATAAACTTGTGTTTAAATTGTTTGATTAGTTTATATTAAAAGCAATGACACAGCAAACGCAGAACAGTAATTGATAACGATTCTCTTGTCCACTGACCCATTGTGAAATGATTCGTAACATACTGCTGCCTAATGGTGAGTAAGCACAATTGTGGATGAATTGCAAATGAAATCTTGGATCCTAATCTTCGAGGGAGACTACCGTGACTTATCGAACTCTTCCCCTCTTGCATAGAAGATATGGCCCTAAAGCTTGTTTGAATTTTTTTCATTACTGGTGCCTGTGGCATTGCTTTATAAATACTGCATTATTTTAGAACGCCTGTACTTCCAAATCCCTCTTCAGCAGCATTCTCGGTTACACCAGAAGGCAAAAGAAAATGCTTCACCTTTGTTTCACAAGTTCAAACTGTGTACTTATCCTCTGGCAACTTAGTCAGTATCAGCTAAAGTATTGGATACTAGAAACATTCAATACTAAGAGGAAATCCATCAAGATATTGGCTGCTGTTTGGATCACATCTTAGTTTACGCCCAACGAAAAATGTTGGTATATACCGTCTACAGAATTGGCTTTCCTGCAGAGACTTCCCGCATAAAAGATGTTACCGTATACAATTTCCAAACCATGGACACTTGATCTTTCAGTGTGGTGCAGGAGGGATGGCTGAATTTTCTCGAAACACATGGTTCTGTTCCGGTCAGTTAGCTGAATTGAAATGTTTGCACAAAATTAATAACGGAAAATGATTAGGTTAGAGAGTAAGGCTGATATATGGAAATTTCTAGGCTGTTTTTGCTCTAATCCTGCCTTACGCGACTGTTGGCCACAGTCTCGTGCACGTAGTTTGTGACATTCCAAAACTCTTCATTCATTTGAGACTAATGAATCATCAAGGAAACCAATAAAGTTTGACTATATTGGACTAAGTCACAATCTGTATGATTTTCGTTAGCTTAGAGATTTCGTTCGGGTAGTGGCCATCGGATAGCAACAGAAAAGCGATGCAGCCAATACTGTGGAAGAAAAGCGCGCTGAAGCTCGTGGGAACAAGTAGTTGACAGTGTGAAACAAAAGGGCAGTGCGCTTGTTTTTGGTGACGAAGTGCTTGCAACTTGTGAGAAACTTGGATTACGGATCAACATCCCTCAGCTGTTGATATCACTTCCCACATTTTGCGTGCCTGGTTCACTGTGCCATTCCTTCATAAATTAAAACCAGAAACTAAACAGATCAATTATATTTAGTTGATTAGTAAAATTAGTTTAAAATCAGGTAAGCAGGAAAATTGGGTTCATATCAGTCACCTGCAGGATAAATATAACATTCATTGATTTGGATTGATTGTTGTGAAAAGTGCATTGTCAATATATTGTCTCCTCAGTACCTTCACTTCGTTGATATGGTGTTGCAGAAAGAGTTGTGAAGCTTGTTGTAGGGAGGCTCTGAAATTAAAGTTTGCTGATGTTTCATCAACCAGGAAGACAAATATAAGTTTGTCAAGATTAGACGCAAAAAATAGTGCAATAAATTACTTCATTAATAACATTTGAAATGGGGTATGTTAGTCCACGAAAGAACTGCTGGGCTTGGAGAGCTTGGCTATTTATGAAGATCACCTCTCAAAGAAGGTTTGGAGAGATGAGGTCATTTCCATTCAATCTGTGTTGTGATGCCCATAAGAATTGTTCAACTTTCTGGAATCAACAGTTAGGAAATGTTTGCCCCAGTGTCACCGGCTGCACAGACCGTCTTCTAAATTGCTATTGTGTGAATCAGTTAAGTCTCAAGCTCGGCAGCCGTCTATGACTAATTCCGATGGGCTTTGTTATAAAACCAAACCGGGGGTGATTACCACCGGCTAAGTGGCAGCAACAGAACAACGGTGTCACCGGTGCCATTATTCAACATGTAATTTGGAGTAGAGACATGATATACAGGCAGAAATTTCGTCTGCTGTAAGGTGATAGGCCACGCTGAAAAGGATAAACACTCCCGAAGATTGGCAGATGCAAGAAATTGAAAAATTCAGGCAGAAACCGTGAGCTTTTGATTCTGAGAGTTGTACGCCGTTCCAGGATGACGCTAAAGCTATCCACTCTGTAGTTGAGTTAGGGTTTTAAAGTATACGATTTTCGCTCGATGCCCATCGATTCTGTGCCGACTGACCAACTAGAGTTTGGATGTGAAATCCATCCAATTTTTCTAGCTCTTCAGGAATAGACCTCCTTCATATTCCCTTTTTAACCTCATCTTCACTACAGAGCTTTGTGTAAGGTGTTCAAACAGTTCGGCAGATGACTACCTGTTTTTACTCTCGGTATGAAGATGATCACGAGGATAATAATGTTTAGGAGAAAACTTGGGGATTCCGCTCTGAGAGTTTTGGACAAAGCCGACCTGTTGTCTGTGAGAGACAACCAACGGTGTGAATTGTTGCCATCTACTGGAAGTGGAACAATCGTTTATGAGGTCTGACGGATACCGCACTGAACGATTCCAACATTGAGACGAGGTAGAATAGCTGAACGCTGCTCTATCACTTCTTCATCAATGAAGGTGCAACGCGGAGAACTGTTGTGAGTGAATCAGAATTTATCGCCGCGCACTCCTCGTATTTCAAAATGGAACTACTAAGTAATATGGAGAATGTCTCGAAATTCATTTTATGAAATCTAAACTGCTTTCTGCATTTTGTGACGCACACTTCAAACCAACACTTTCAACTGAAATAGATTTCATTGCAACCGGTAAATGAAGTGCTCAATAGAACCAATAAAACAAAGTAAATAAGAGAATGGGGTTATCAGGTAAAGCCCACGACGGGCGAGAAACTAACCGCTGTGGTCGTCAGGGGGTTATCCAGATAGCAATCAAACAGTTTTGTTTCCAATTTGCTGTTGACTTGCAGGCCTTCAAAAATCTGACCTTTGCATACGAATTGACCCTAAAATTAGAGAAAATAAGCATGCACGTTTTCAGGAAACAGAAAAATAATTAGGATAGTAAAGCTGACCCTTAAAAACCACTATATGTTTCATTTATAAAATAGACAGTAATGTGCAATTCAGAAGAATGCCTGTTTGGTATAGTGTCCATCGGTTCTCCCGAACAGCTCAAACGGAAGCTGTGAAACATGTAGCCACTTAGTGATCACGCGATGGGAGTAAAAATCTATAAACAGGTTGATGCAAAACATCCGTGAACTAACTCTAGCATAATTTTTACTTCTGGAGAACTGAAAACTCTGCAATTCAAGTTGTCCACCATTCTTTGCTGCGGTCAACTCAACAAAGACCCATTTATTTTATTGGGCAATTACTGATTTCAACTTGCTAGCCAAAAAGCTCTGCAAGGTATATTTGTCATAGACAAAAGATAAAACCCAATTTGTCATTTGGGACCACTTTCTAGGTAGATTTATCGTTCCAAACACCTCATGAATGTACTTGGTTACTGTAACCTATGGACTGGGAATTCTGCATAAATGTAGAGCTTCGGGCAGTACCATCCATGAAGCGAAGACAATGAAACTACCATGAACAAGAGTATTCTTAAGTGGAATTAATGGTTTAGTCAATGTAAAAATTTCTCAAGAACATTACCACTTGTTAAAAGTCAGCTATTTGTTTTCAGTTGTTCGAACTCCTCCCGGAAAAATAGCGCCCGACGACCAATAGAATCAAAGCCAGCTTTCATGTCGAGAGAGATAACCACTGGTCGTTACTTAAAACAGTGCCGCTGTTTCACGCACTGTCGGGAACCGAACAAGTGATCAAAGCATTCTCTTTTAGAACGGAATCCAGATTGGTTTCCAGGGTCCTTTCTCTGTATGTGTGTTCTGTCAACCTGCGAAGGATTAGCCTAAAAAGCACCTTCTCCACTCCACCAAGCACCAATAATTTCAGTCAGGTACGTAATCGAGGATTCTCAAGCATTCGCAAATTCGTAAGTTGCTCATCCCATCATTCCAACCGGCCTTCATGTGGAAGGAATGCCAAGCTATCTTCTTCACTTATCCTTCTACTGATGGTTGCCTTCCTCTGGCCACTATATTGAATCAGGCAGCATGAGATACGACGTTTTCCAGTGGTAAGACCATCTTCATCTCCTAAGCTTTCACTGTCCATCAACGTTTCCCCTCTTTATCTAGATTCTTCACAATTTGGGGTTTGGTTTGCATGCACCGTCGTATTCACTGCCCTAGGTCTGGATTTCCTAGAATCGCCCATGACAAGCGATACCTTGCGACGATTTTCAATGAACATCTTGTTGAAAAGTCAGGCTAACAGTCCTCAATTCTGGCAGAATAATTGAGCTAGCTAAGACCGATGCTACTGAGCAATGGTACTTTTCCGACAATGACGTATCGACATGCTTCTTGTTGACCTCCGAGTGTCTGGAGGAAAGCGACATATCAGATGTCCTTACAGTATGTTGTGATTGAAATCAAGCTATGTACTCAATTGAGATCACGATTGTTTTCCACCTGACGGACGCCAGGTTACATGGCGAAAACTTTTTTTTTAATTCGTGCTTTCTACAAACAGTTGAATGTCAGCACACAGCTGAGGGTGTCGTTGTATGTAGTCTGTGCATCGAGCGTCAACTGAAAATTGATGTTATTTCAAAGAGTCCAGACAGTCAGCCTGGGCAAGGATGATGAGTTTGTTGCTTCATAACTGACAAATTAATTCCGAAGATCTCAGTAGAAAGCATCCTTTTCAGCTTTCAAACACGTCTGTTGGTGTATAAGCCGACATCCCCAAAAAATACCAACTTTTGTCTCCAGTTTTGTTGAGTTTGAATAGGCTATATAACCGAATAGGACAGGGTCGATGTTGGCTATATTCCATTCCAGCATAGCACTCTCAGCTGTGAAGCTGAACACAACCGAAATGCCGTGAATTCCATGAATCATTTGTGACACCAGACATACGCAGAATAAAGTATGAAACAGTTGGGTTTGTACTGGATGCTTCAAGAGAAATGACTAAGCTTCAACCTTGTGTGCGTACCTCGAAGTCACAGACTACATCAATTTTAATAGAATATACAGCCTCGTGTGTGGACGTTAAAAGCTCCTGTGAAGAAAAGACCTCGTTGAATAAATAAAAGGTTGTTTTATTTACTGTTAATTGGCAGTGAGAAAGGTGTGGCGCATACTTCAGATTACTGGAAACCAAATGATCCAGCCACGTTTGATCCAGGCATCAGTAGAGACTGGAGAGGGACATAGATGAAGAAAAAATGTGCGGGCAAATGATTCTTCCCAGTTTCCTAGGCGAATAACTAGAGTTAATATGGCGTAGTCTCCTTGAGACTTTTAACTAAGTCTTATCCACAAAGTCTCTGGGTTTTCTTAAGAAACCCAACCTAAAGACGATAACTGAACAGTATGACCCACTCGGCATACAGTAATATACGCAGTTGCCACGATCTTGGTGATGTGATAGATAGATGATAGACGCGTTTGAAGCAGTTTCGGGTTCCTACGGCGTTTTTATTGTATTTTGACCACAATGGATATCTTATGGGCGTTCACTGTCAATTTTTGAGCGACCGGATTTTTGGCAAGATAGAAATTTTCTATCCCGTCCTTCTTCATGGGAGAACATCACCGGAGCTGTCGTCATCTGGATAAAATTGGCCGTTTTTTTTACACCTTCATCTTAATGGATAGTACAATTTTACCTCCAGACCGACTCGTATAGCTATATGTCGTGGTGTTGCACCAAGTGTTTTTTCGTTTGACTGACTACAATTACCTCGCTTACGTCGTCGAAACTTTGAAAAACTTGGCTTTCGGCAATGTAGCAATCGGGATTAATACAGTATTTAGACGTGACCATCAGGTCAATGTGGTAGTTCGAAGTTGAGATCACTGACGGCAACTTTTCTGGATTATCAGTTGTACTCGAAATGGTGCACCTCGATCAGTCTGAAATTAATCGTACACCATTAACAACTGCAAGTCCTTTTTTTAAAGGTGATCCGATATTCTGTCATCCATTGCGCTCCACAAGCGGAAACGAACATTGACACTGTGGCTACCTTCATAAATTCGTCATCCGTATGCACATCTGTGTTGGCGAAAAATTATCAAATGTCGCCAGTGAGTTTATTTTGGTTCCGCAACCCCTGCCAGAGAGAAACAATTCTCACTCGGTTCCTACTGTCGGTTGACTTGAAGAAGTTCAGCGGATGCCGTTCATTGAAATTAAGCGACTTAGTTATGTCACATCACTGGTCTCCAGCTCAACTCAAGAGCTTACCGCTTGGTAACAGTTTTGCAAATTTATAACGGTGCAATCATGTTTAAACTGAGGAATGACTATAACGCCCCAACAGGAGTCATGTGACACTAACGTGCCGAAAAGGTTTCCGTGTTGGCAGTCACCCTTTCTGATCAGCCTCCCTACCATATGAGTATGGTGTCCACCCCGTTATTCTTCCGTTCTGTAGTTGAATCCTTGAATAAGCACGGGAATGAGTTAGCATGAGCCACTTTCAACTAGTTTTTAATTGTTTACCCAGCAATTTACTTGCACCCGATGGTTGTCCCATATACAGGTCACTTGTGACCGAGATAGGCCGATATTGGAACAAACGGTGTCTGAAAAGAGCCAGTTTCTAATATAAATTGGACATTAGGAACAAAAAGATCGCTTGGGCTCCTGGCAAGCACACCCACTGAAAAAGATTTTTACTCATCGCTCGTGAGGAAACCTCTCTGTCCCAGGAATTTCTAACCAATACTCCAGCAATACCATGAGAATTCTACCTATCTACAGTGATTAAGTCAGCTTGATTAGAAAGATAAACTTTCAGCCAATCCGTCAAAATCAGTGACCGGTAAAGGTGTCAAACACGAAAACAAACTTACTTGGGGTAACCAATCAGAACAATGGGTATCGTTTCGCAGCGGTAGAGAGGTCTTGCAAGTTTCCACCTGCAGTATGGCGTTGAAGGTAACCAGACGTCCATCTTCATACTAAAATGATTAGTCTACCATCTCACGTTTGAACAAACCTGAGTTGAGACATTTTCAACCCTTGCCACGCTATATACTATGCCAATCGATAACTCCGACTCGTTTGTTTCAGTCGAAGGCAGACCATTTCCTTTGTCCATTTTCCAACTTTGAGAATGCAGCAGTTGTTTGACGGTGGAATCAGATTGGTTAAGCACCTTTCGGCAGTTTTTCGGAATCAAATGTGTTGATAGTTTGCCATCGAAATCCGCATAAATATCGACCAATGTGCACTCGACGAAATGCTGGAAATTTGTTTGGCAAGTAAAGATAAATCTACCTGATTCCAAACAAGCAAACAAAGTCCTATCTAATATACAAGAGACCTTTACCGTTACGAAAGCAGGCATATACTACAAGAATGAAAGCACTAGATGTTTGCATACACTGAAACAAACTGCAGAAGACACATTCTAGTTGCAAGGTGATTGTCCGCTATTATAACATTTTGTTTCTCACCACGGTTAGTGCATGTTCGAGCTAGAGTTGTCCCCCGAATCTCCACTAGCGCACCCGGTGTCGGATTAATATGTGGTTGAAAAACGCAAAGGCAGTAGAATATAGTCAATAAAAATGCTATACAGATATGAGTGCTTCTCAGACTCAGCGAAGAGCTTCCACGAAACAAAGTAGGATTAGCAAAGGTACCTCTGTGTATTACTCAAAAACAGGGCAGAAATGCAGAGTGATTCTGCTCAACTGGATTTCAGAAATCAAATACCTTAAAATGAATCGTAAAACAGGTAAAATAACCATTATCTTTTGAAAATATCCTGTACGCAGTACATGCTTACATTAGATATTTCACGGTCCGCTCATACTCATAAGAGACAGGACATCCCAAATAGCTGGACAAATCTACATTTTTGATCCAAAAACATATGAGGGGCGTCTTTCAAGAGAATTCTACTAAATGCATGTGGTTAGTCAAAAGAAGGAGGTTCTATATTTATAAGCAGTGTAGAAAACAGAATGCCCCTAAGAACTACACGAGCTGTTGGGTTCGTTAGAAAGTTATTTACCATGTATGCGGCAACTTCTAATAAAATAATCTGGACAGAAATTGTTTCGGAAGTAAGGTAACCAACCTCTTCCGACCTGAAAGCACTACTAATGTCGTCTCAACTGATGATAAAACGTTTGCAACCAAATGTCCCAGCTCCTTGAGCAACCACCGCAATAACGAGAAGGAGACTAGGGTAGAGTGTGGACAGAATTCGATTGATCTACTCAACTTGATTAAACAAACACTAGAAACACTAAATAAACGAGACAGGCACTTGTGCTTTTTATCCATAGATTTTAATAATGGTTCTTGACTTGGCGAATGGATAACCATTTTTTATTCTTCTTGGGAATTTGGGCCGTCTAGATGTAGTCACTGGCTTTGCCAAATCTTTTCATTCCGGGAAGGAGCTTTAGATCTAACTTGTTAAGCAACTCATGACGTTTGAATTGTGAAACCAAAATAAAACATGTATTCGTCAGGGAATCACGCATCCCAGTTTATATATAGTTGTATTTGTCATGGACATGTTTCGAAATTGAGAGCCATTTCCTGCACGGCTACCCGTTCCTGCCAACCCAATCGAATGCCACATGGTTTTAGTGCGCCACCGTCACTTGTGCCCGAGGATTGTACTCTGGCGCATTGTGCTAAGAAGTATACCTTCTAGAGTTCCAGTTTGGGATTTGGCACAAATGGCACAAATGCAAACATCGTTTGTTCAGACATTCAATCGGAACACCAAAATTTACCTCACTTAGTGGTAAATGATGGTGGCATAGCATTTTTCTGAGACTCTGTTATCCCACTAACACTGATCAAACAACTGGAAAAGATCTGAACTCGCAAATGGCTGGCGTCGCGTGTGTGGAAAAATCCTCCGTGTGCATCTTAACAACAGAACCGTCATTTATAGCACCATCGTGTTTTCCATACACTTACAAGGCATGGAATCAGCATCCCTATCGAATTCCCGACTAGCTTCATCTTTGTCATCCAAAGCAGAATATGTAGAGCCGCTAGTGACACTGGATTACAAATACCCATGTAAAATAGGAGGCAAATATTTCTGGAATCTAAAGTATCTTGATTCACAGTACTAGTGGTACCAAATCAAGTGCCTGAGTTTGGATCGTATCTTACAACAGCTGCCATAAGGGTAGTTGCGAGGCCACGAAAGGCTAGAACTACGGTACGGTAAAAGGTTACGAGTGAGCTTAAAAATACTCATATCAGTGACTACCAGTTAAAAGCTGTAGGCATATGCACCGTGAGTACCAAGGCTATGTCGTGATGACAAAAATAAATAAATAAATTACCCAGCCTCCCGTTGCCTAGCTGCGACACTACCTGAAGGAAGCATAAGGGCCGAGATACTGCCCAGCAGTTTGAGTCACAAACCGTCCAGTCGGTTAGTTCTTGCCCTAAACAGCTTTCTCAAGGTCGGTACTGAATCACAAATGATCCATTCATAATAAGCTAACATTTAGTGTCTCAAAGCCAGTTAATTTATGGAGCCGCCGAACTTGTTGATCTACATGAATCAGGATAGTTGAACTTACTGAGTATACATGGGAGGCAAAATTTCCCTGCTGAAGTACATAAATGCACTAACTAAACAGGTGATAAGATGTTTATGGTTGATCAACCGAAGTGCCGTCCATTGCATTTTGATGGTTTTGTACGGATTACTGGCGATGAACTGGAGCCCAGTGTGCAGAAAACATTAAAAGTCTGTTATTCCTTGGCTAGTTCTGCTTTTCCCAATAGGAATTCTTCAGCGTACAGTACGAAGTGCTTTACAGCACTAAATTCACACAAAAGTGCTCACGTCTCAATTGAGCTTGACTGAGGTATTACTACAAATTTCTATGAAATTTTACAAACAACCATCAGTGCCAAGTGAAACCATCTACTCCTGACGACACTTGAGGTAGCTGAATTTACTGGTCGAAAAAAATGTATGTAACCGAGTGGACGCTTTATGAGTTTTCCGCCAACTCCAATTGAAATCACAATGAAAACCAAGGTCTGCTCTTGAGGGAACTCTACGCATTAGGTTACTGAAACTCTATCACAGTCTAAGAGTGCTGACGTCCTTCTTGTAACTCATTAGGTAAGGCACAGTCACAGTGTTTAAACCAGGTTTTTCAACTACTTGAACCTAAGTTGCAATTGATCCACACTCAGTTGCACAATAATTTGTTTTAATGGATAACCCATCTAAATTCCAGCTTAATTTTCCGTGTAAGGCACAGGTCGTTGGCTGCGGAAGAGAGATCATCAAGTTTATAAATAGTGTTCTGTCAAGAAAATAAACTTCGATACCTCGAATATGCTGAAAACGGCTTTTTTCAGTACGTTCAGCTAAAGAATAGTATAACCTAGGGATTGATCCGGAATCCGATTGTTTATTTGTCTGTTGAAACCAAATAAGTGTGTGAGAAAACACTGTCCCATTTGACTGACAGAAGTAGCTTGTGGGGAAGGGTGTTAATTTAGCGTCAGCTCACTCACCTGACTAAGGCTCAGCCTTGTGAATAAATAATCTGGTCAGCTGGACAACATCAGAATCAACATAATGATCCCGACGCCAAAAAGAAAGAGGAGTGGTTGGTTCCGTTGGAAAGATGGCGCAAAAGAGATGTAACATAATCTCAGTCTACTCGAGATTTTCGAGTTGAGCATTAAAATTTGGTCTGTAATTAGCGAAACCACAGAACTACCTACTGGTTCACTACTGAGGGTACTTAATCTCGTATCCAACGTAAGTTTCAGTTTGTGCACCCATTCCATTGATGATTTTTTACAGGATGCGTCTAACTGTTCAAATCTCCCATAAAATTTAATCGCCCACAAATCCTCCCGAGGCCCAATTACAGCATTTTGACAGTTAACAAAATTGGTGGACGTCCACTTGGACAGTTCAAAGGAAATTGAACCAGTAGATGATAAGTAAAAATATACTGCTTTAAGGAATACCGGTAGTCGCGGGGTACATGCTTTAGTTGTTGTGATCCAAAGAAACAACTTCACATTGAGCATTTCTTGTTTACTGGTCAGTGCTCTTTTCCAACGGGACCGAAAAGAGAGAAAAATGTATTAAATATTGGTATATATCATGTTATTTCACCAAATATATAAAAGTTGGATATTTGAATCTAGGTTCTTTCGTTTATCACACGACAACAGAAATTGTCTTGATTTGGGGCCTCATCCCAAAAGGGGACATGTTGAACCGGCCTCACAAACGGACCCTCTTTGAGGTGAGGTTGCAGGAAGTTTCAGTGAGGATTTCGTCAAAGTGGTGTAGCTCTCCAGCCACTAGTCGGGTATGCGTGCCCTGCTGCTTCGATGGAAGGAATGTACGCATCTCCTACGGGCTTGAGCTGCATGCGTCAAGGTGGGACAGAGATATTCTGCTACCATAGTTTCGACTAATTGCCGTGTGGGCTCTGCACGGCCTCGCCATGCTATTGCAGTTGGTAGAAAGTGCGTTCCTGGCTTAGCTGCCTTGGCGATCTGGTGGATTTTGCATCAGTCAACCACGTTAAATATATAATATGTATAGTAACTGGAGTGAGGACGATACTAAACCGAGATTCGCATCCTCCCTAAACTGGTGAGCCATCCTTCGTTTCAAAACGCCCTGCTTTTCAATGTAATCAAGCGTGTCTCCATCAAGGGAAGTACACATAAAATGAGTCGAAGTTTATGTTATGGGGGATGTTCGTGGTCTGAATGTCTAGGAACAAATAGTAAAAGGGTCTTTAAATGACAAAGTGGGATTATTATCATGTGCCGTGGTGAAAATATTCACAATTCTGGCTGCCTAATGAACAATTACTTTGAGGAGGGAAGCCGTACCGGATTTTTCCAAAACCCTATCACTAACTAGCAATCAACGTTGAGGTTGCAAAAACCAAAGCCGCTATTTTTATTGAAATGACTATTGTAACCGTATTAGTAGTTCACCGATTGCTCATAGTTGAGAATTAAAAGCTGTGAGGAACGTGGACCCCAGTTTTGCATTGTTCAAGATTTAGATATCCGGATACAGCGTGTGATCACAGATAACCGTGATCCTCTAAGTTTTTGTGTTTAATGAACTAATCGTCACACAAGATAGATTGTGTTATCTAATGTTCACCGGTGTTATCATTTGAACTACCCATTTCGATGGATAACTGTCGAAATTGTAACTAGATTATTTTCCAAAAAAGCCTTGTTATGCAATTCCTACATGAATCGTATTAGATACAACCAAAATGCAGAGCTCATTATGCAACGCCTGACGTTTTCTATAAAATTCTCACCGGTTTATTGCATCAGAATCCAAAACCATGCTTTTTGACCATTTTTTGTCAGCCAAAATAGACCTGAAGTTATATTTTTCAGATACAGGGCTTTGTTTGCAAAACTTTCCTAACAAAGCCATCCTTTCTACCACCATTTCTAGGACTTGTCACTGTTGATAAATTTTGCCCTACAGATGCAGGTACACTATAAATGATAAAATGAGTTTTCCCGAACCTATCTCGTCAGCGGACATTACCTCAAAAGAGTCCTCCAAAGTTAAAATTTTTGGATAGTGTACAACGGGCGAATTATGCTTCAATATGATACACCAATTGCAAGCGGCCGTGTGAGAGTCTAATTGTTTTTTTGATCTGGTCTCTTTTGACTATTGTTGGTGTTTGCAGCCGCGATGCTCTTATCCCACTATTCCCTTGAAGTAAATTTCGTTCAGATGACCGAACATAAAGGCAGCACACAAAGCATGTAAAATAAGGTGTCAGTTATGACTCCAAGTTGGTTTTTATTTGTGAAGAATCACATTCAAACTTGGGTAAAGTCCAGAAACTTATGCCAGCAGCGTGCAAGAATATGTTGCCTTACTTGGATTGTTAATAGTTAATAGAATAATTCTCTACCATAGTTTCAGGATGCTCCATCGCCGATATACTGCATAATGACACGCTAATCGGCTCAAAAGATTTGCAGTACTAGCTAATAGGAGTAGATCACATTACCTCGGACTGCGCAAAATGACGCTCCTTCTTCTCATTGGTGCCACTTTTTTAATTCGGCTTTACGTCATCGACATTTAATTGATGACAATATACCGGGTGTGCGAACCCGGCTCATTATATTCTATATCCAGCGATAGATACTTACCGAGTGACGCCAGAAGTTGCATTCTGCCTGGCTCAAACTGCTATTGCAGTGAGCAGGTCGAAACTCAATTGAGATGGTTCGACGTTTTCCAGCTGCAAACTAGAGGAGAACAATGATGAAATATTGTATGAACCTACAGATTGTTCATCCCTTCGAATTTCAAGGTCCCCATAGATAAGTTTATCCGTTGAAAGAAGATGCTGACGTAAACTGCTTAATTCCGACTCATAACGACTATTCCGCACCAGCGTCAGATTCAGTGGGATAGCGGGCCCTTCTTTGACAGTTTTCATTGGCTGTTTGGAAATACGGACGCAATCTACGACTTCCAGTTCCTTAAACCAAAACAACCACGGCTGATTCGTGACCTTGCAGTGGCACTGGTAAAAGTTCTAGAAAAGTATAGGATAGACAGATATGAACGATGAGACTAACGTTCCGAATCCTGGCAACAAAATAGCCCTGATCAAAATTAAATATACAAACTGAGTCGCCAAGACATCAAGTGCGCTCAGTTCAAAAACATTGTTCTCATTAGATTAGGAATTTGGAAACCATACTCCTAATAGGAATGCGCTAGTTTCTAGAGTTGGTTGATTGTGCAGCTTCACTGGTCGGGAGAATGCGTCAGCAGTTTTGGACTGATCGGACAATGCACACTCGACTGTTTCTCAGAACGTTAGACCATGCAGTTTGACGCCGCAGTTCATCCGGTAGTAGTGATCAGGCAGCGTTGCCATGAATCAAATATTCAACCGCTTTGAAGATAACAAAACAGAACCACAGTCGCCCATATCAATACAGATACGTGGGCGAGTCGATCTCTCAAACAAGCACATGGTTAAACGAATAGAAAGCGAATGGATCAATGTACATTTATTTGTGTGATGAGATCAAGCCTACTGAAGCGCGTGTACTGACTTTCCAAAATCCACATATTTGTAATGTAACATTACACTGTAGTCGACCGAAACTCTTCGAGAAGAAATGGGAAGAACTATTTTTTTCTGTCATATTAGTGATGTGACCATTATTATGACATTGCGATAGAGACATCGATTATTTGCATCTACCGATTTTAAGTATTTGATCAGTTGGATTTGAACACTTCCAAACACCAGTACCTTGACGACAACTTCGAGTCAATTAGCTCTAAATCAAAGTTAAATCCCCGGAATTTATTAGAGTGCACCCTAACGATTAAGTCAGGATACCGTTATTCAAATGCAAATGAATGATTATGTATAAACTGGCCTTCCGCACAACAAATCGTTGATAGGAATTTCAGGAACTAGGCCGTGTAATGGACCACAAAATGGTAAAGTTGTAAAAGTATTTTTTCAGTCATTAGTGGTACCGTTCAAATGGTTAGCCGTGCTGACAATGATTATCTCAGATAATCTGAGGTATCGGTCCAATTTGTGCCACTTAATCCTGGCCCAGTGCCCTGTTGTATTCAACTAGCTTTTCAGCTGCTGAATTTTACATCGAATGGTTCTGTATGTATACAGAAAACTGGGTTATTGATAATTCTAGTCGTAACTACTCAGAAATCACGGCGCTGAAATAATCACCTCGTTAGTAAAATGTGTGCAAGAAGGACTATTTGTGCTGGCATTCAGCTGACAAGTCTGGGTTTGAGGCACAGCGTATTTTCATGTGATGCCACGGGCTGTGTGGAGAACCAGAAAGTTTTCGTGGGGTTTTGCTCCCATAAAAGGAGTGGAATAGGGAAAAAATCAATACCTTTGGAGATATCACCTCAATAAAGATGGTCCAATGGTCCGATGCCTTCACCAAAAATATATTCACATGAATTTTTCTCCATTTCGAACAACTTATAGTTTGAAGGTGGCATCAGAATCTCTACGGATTCCCAACATGCATTTCGTTTCGTAAGTAAAACCAAGCTACTGAATGCTAGATCTATTGTGCTGTGATTAGACCCACTAAACGTGTGAACTGTTTCTAAGATCAGGCCAAGTTAGTGCGAATTTTCAATCAATTTTATCTGAAAGTTCTGAACCGGTGAGCTTCAAGGATTAGGTCACTCCCTTGTGCTGGCGATCGTTGAAGACGCTCAGTCTGTTGTCTTCAGCAGAGCTGATTAGTAGTTTTTCCTATAGGTTCATGGTCCGGGCACAACGTACGTCTCTTCATTGAAAGTTTCCAACAGAATGGATTGATAACAACGGACAAGAGAAACACCAAAGTATGTGATCAAGGGAACTGACCGGTACCGGTTAACCTTTGGCAGTTAGTCCAGGTCCAACCAAAGCGAAGCGGAATACACTTTCCACCGTTTATGTTTTGGGCGGTAAATGCATTTGGGTATGAGTTACTGGTGTAAATGAGCATCGATGCGAAGACAAGGAGCAATTAAATGTAATGAACCCGACGGTACACGTCAATGTGATAAATAACTCATAAGCCGGCAAAGACGTAGGAAAACAGAGAAGATATCCGACCGAATAAGAAACACAAACAGTGGCCTGTGATTGCCTCAAGGCATTGGATCACACATTCATTATCAGTTGGAATGGGAACAGACATTAGGAGGTAAAGTTGTTTACTCCTCCGATTTTATGTGAATTTAACCGCCTGTAACTGAGTATATCGATGTGCATGCTGGGGAACAAAAAATCTAGCCAACTATCAATTTTTCATCAATTGCCATAAGTTACGAATGCCGCCATCACTCCTCAGAAGGTACGCACAAAAGCAGCATCTCGACTTGTCAGCATCCTGGTGATTAACCACGCTTCTCTTAGATGATGAACAGAAAGATGACAAGAGTGCCAAGTTCTGGCAACTAAGGAAGCCGCTACTTCTATCTATGTACATTTATGTGTTGTTTGTATAGATGGAACTATAACGAAACTCATGGGTATAACTGAAGCACTATGAAATTCTTGAGTAATCTGGGATCATCTAAAAGTTGAATAAGAGAGCCAACTGTAATGAACGACCGTTTTTTTTGTTATTATTACAGGGGTTTAATAATTTGTGGGACCACCTACTAGAAACTTTGGTACACGCTGCGCTCACCCAGCTTTGGTGTAGCAAACAGCTCCGAATTCAATGAACATGAAACTAGAAGACAACTTTGACAAAGAGAAACGAACGGACTGAGAAACTTTTGACTGTGACAAAGGCAAGTCAAAGCCAAGAAGAATCAGTCAGTTTTAGGATAGATAAAATGCTTCACAGAAGCACAAACAAGTTCTGGTCTATTCTCTTCCCAGGTACAAATACATCCGCGAAAAATCTCGAATTTTATACTGGCATGCGAACATTCATGTTCAACACGAAAGAAACAAGCTTACCTGGGAAGGGTGACAACTTCCTTGGAGATGGTTGTTCGATGAAAAGTTTGCGCATGTCTCATGTACAGACTGGGAGACCAAATTTGCGTAAAATTCAAATGTTTCATTTAAAACCGAAGAAACGCCTCTGGCCGATTCAAATAGACCGCCTCCAATATATTCTCTTGCATAAATATCATCAATTTTCAAGGAATCCGTCGCATTTATTGTGCCGTTAATCAGACGCAAAAATCGATATGACAACGGATCCACAATGAATTTTCGGAACTCCTCTTGGTTCATATTTCTACGGTAGCCGTCTTGCTTTATGTGATCGAAAATACGGCAGTCTTCGATATCCAGTGTTTTTTTCTCCTTTGGGAATGTTCTGATCCAGTATGTCACTCGGCATACTATAACTGACTGTTTGCAGCTCAAGCAATGTGGGAAAATACGAGGGAGAAGAGCAGACGACAGAATTAACACTCAAGTGTGCAAAAATATCTAATTAAACTTATACGCTATAAATATCTTGTGCTAGAACGGCCAACTACATGACTGCTCTCCTACAGAAAGTGGCTGTTTGGTGGTGGTCAAATGCAAGCAGCTAAAGAATGAAACAAGATAAAATGCGCTCCAAACCGCAGGATAGTTCAGAACGTACTTTATTCCGCCGCGCGTTTAAATTGAACACTGATAAAGTACATTCAATATATGACTGCAGCTAACATGTGTGGAACGCATCACATCAGTTGGACCTAAGAATAGGAGGCACTTATATTCGGTGAGGGCAACATTTCCAGTTTGTAGTTTATTATGCTCTAACTTGATAAAAGCTCACTCTCAACACACACGAAGGAGTCTGAATGATAATCGTTTTGAGCCTCTCGGACGCGTGATTTTTCAGCTCGATAGTGAGCCGGCCACACCACCTACTATTCGGTATTTGTAACGAAAATGATCTTGAAAACGAACTTGAAAGCTGCGACGAAACTACCTCGGGGGAATGCTGTATTTTCAGAGATCCTTTGGTGTGCGATCTCCAAGAAAGGTAAAGTTTGATCGATACGCGATCTCCAAAGAATTTCTACAAAATAAAATTATCTGTCCTACTAATAACTGTGTCTTACCTGACGACTCAAAACCTCTGACAAGTGGACGTGAAACGTAACAGCTGTAGAAGACTGCTTATTCAGAATTTTTATCGCTTCTTCTCTGACTGAGTCGACATCAGCTTCTTCTCGTTTGATCGGGGTTTCCGTTCTACTTTGAAGATCCAGTATTCTTGTCGCAATACATCCGGAAATGCGTACTTCGTGTGTTTCTTCATGTGCTGCCATCCTCACCGATACGTTACATGATACAAAGTTCTGTGATAATGGGAAAATTGGAAAATTTAGTCTGTCCACTAATCTAAATAACCTATGTGCAGAAAACAAATATTTGCTTCATAATTATAATTCAAGTGTATTTGTTCAGGCAGCAGACACTCTTCTTTATCATCCAAGCATAAAGACGTCACGTGCAATCTTAGGATTTGCCCTGCATTTACTTTCAAAACATGGTTACCAAAACCACCGGGAACAACCACAAAAACGGCGAGTCTCTCGTAATATGTTTTTTTTCAATCCACGGAACCTCTCTCAAAACATGATAAACGAGAGATTCAGCTGGGTTTCAGCTGAGTCTCCCAAAAAAATCACATTTGTTTGCAAATGAGTATATTTGGCGAAATCATTCAAGTTTGGGTTTAAGTAGATCATAAGGTTGAAGAAAACCCGTGGAATGCGCCTACCTGATAAGTTCCAAGAAATGCGGAACCGATCGTGGGCTATCGAAGAATTTTCAGCAACCTTATGAGTAGTGTATTACATCTACACATGTATCGCGATATCTCGAATACTGTACCAATTGAAACATGAGGCGGCCTGGTTCAGCACATTGTTGCTTGAAATCATCAGATAAGAGAGATTCAGCTGGGTTTCAGGTGAGTCCGCCGAAAATCCTAATTTGTTTGCCATTGAGTGTATTTGTCGAAATCTCTCTCATGACGGTTGTGTTAGAGATCCACATAAAGCTCCATGAATTTCAAGGATACTTTTTGAATAAAACAAAGTGTCCAGTTACATAAACTCAGCAGTAGTTGGTTACACAAAATTCGATTGAAGGCAAATCTTGCCTGACTGGGATAAAAAGGCCGGCTAAATACTCCGTTCCTAGTCCTCTCATAGTAAGTCTTTTCGTTTTAACTAACACAACCTGATGCTCCCGAATTTAAAAAGAAGTAATCAGTTTGAATAACCTTACGTAATTAGTGATTCGTTGTATCAGGAAGTTGGAAGAACAGTTTACTGACTTTCTTTCACCAACTTTTGTTGAAAGGTTAAAATTCTTCGCTCGCAGAAAGGAAGAGGCGTTTTCGAAGTCGTCCGGTGAGTGAATGTATAACATTTAAGATGCTGACATAGCACCGGCGACTATTGGGCAAAAATTGTCCACCACTTGTTGCACTGTGTTTCACTAATCAGGGCATGACAGTCAGCTTGGCTCCCTCTGGGAGTTCGTGGACAAAATTATGCTTATTTGAAAGCGTCCCATATTGAAGGGAAAATCTGAAACCAGGCGAAATATCGAAGCAATCGAACAAAACAAATTTTATGGCTTTCAAACGATATCAAGCAGTTAAGTGTCCCACTCAAATTTTGCTAGCATAAACAAGTTTTGCGAAATATCTGTTACGCTGTCCGTAAACAGTGTCTTGTAATTGGTGCCCATAGTAGGAGACTTAAATAGTTTTCAGTTGAAAAAGGTATATTTTTAGATGCAAAACAGTTGAAAAATTACTAGTCGAATCTAGAGGCACTTGTTTATCAGAAGAACTGCCGAAGTGGTCAATACCACCTCCTAATTCTCTTCCCGGAATGGACTATTTCTAACAGATCATACCAGTGTTCCATATTGTACAAATCCTACAGTTGACTCGAAAAAATTATAACACACCCGTCATTCTGCAACTGGCCGGACCACATGACTGCGTTTACTTCTTCCCCAAACTAGAGACAAGCTCTAACTGTCACTGACATATACGCTGGATTAGAATACAGCCGGGCTTATCGCATGTTATTGGCTGATTGGGCAGCGATAAAGCTAAAGATGTTCGGAGACTCACTTGGCTTTCTCCGTTGTAATCTTCACTCTTAACAAGGATATTCACGTTCTTCTTCTCCCAATTGGTTTCTTGAAATATTGCCTCAAATGTCACAAATAATGCTGCGTCTGCCTGAAATCAAAACGATCGGACAGAGAGGTAGCATCTCTTCATCCCACATGCTCACTCACCTGTGTCATGTGGTTTACCACATCATCCACTGTGACCAGGCCAAAATACTTTGAAATTGAATTCATCTTGTTAAAATCCACCTCCACTTCTTTCAGTATATCGGAAAATGTAGTTTCAGCGGCCATGATATCCAGGTAAGTTGATGGTAGGTTGAGGTTTGGTGGTGTTGGATCAACAACGCGACAATTGGATACCCGAACATCGCGAAAAGAGTGCACCCATGAGATTGACCGGGCTTGCACGTGACAAACCATAGCCGACTGAAAAGTGCAGGTTATAGCAAGAGTGAAAGTTCAATTCTATCCAACATCAGAGCTTCAGAGAGCGGAATCCTTGACATAACGCTAACAAATGCCAAAATGTATGAGGAAGAATGGATGTAGAGCATCCGTTAAGATTTTGCGCTTTGAGATCATTAGTGCTTCGTCGACTAGAGATGTTTTTTAAACTGTTCGTGTATTTGAAGCATAGTTAGGTATGCAAATAAAAATCGGCTGATCATATTGCTTGTATTTACTACTCACGAACTACTTATGAATACTAAACGTGGACTAGACGGCAGGCCACAGCCGGACGTCTACTATTTCTGCACTACACTCGTTTGGAAGATAGCAGATGCTAGCTTACTTGGTGCAGTTTGGTCTGATTCCGGGCCAGATTAGCGGATGCATAAAGGACATTTCATTTTTTCATTTCTAAATTCGATGACCTGAATCGGTATCCCACGTTCTGTTAGATCCATTCTACTGCAAGCCTGGTGAGTGCAATTATGATTGGATAACAATAGCTCGAACTCTCTTAAAAAGCATGAAAGAGGGGCTAATACGTGGCACGGTAGGGGCTAAGTGCTGCTTACACTGCGAGAAAGAGTTTGCGTGCAGCGTGGCATCTCAGCATCAAACTGGTTTGTGGTGGGTTGACATTTCAGACTGATATTCACAGTCTGCTCGTCTCTGCTTGTGGTCGTCTCATGATTGATGGAGTAGGCCTGGTAGCTGGCTAAGTGAAGTGATTTCTTTGAAAACTGAATTGCCGAGGAAACTGGAGCGGCACACTGAAAAAAGCGGTCATATTTACCTCTATAAACACTGCCCGCAACGTGGCTGTTTACTTTACACACAAAACCTCACCTTTTCTCATCCAAAGCTCAACGGCAGAGAGCCCTTACACAAACACGTTTTCAAGAGTTTTAACGCATTTTATTTCTGATGCTGTTACCATTATTTGACTGTTTCCTTACGGTATTTAGGGAATACAGTGCGTGCCGTCCCAGGACTGTCTACTTGTCTGTATTGTGTGCTAAGTTCCACATTCAAAACGGAGCAAAATGGATTTTGCAATGATAGTCATCACTTGGGACCGCAGTAAGTCTCGAAATTGGCAATCATGGACAGACCACAATTCTTCAGGCGCACACCACTGCAGTCTTAAATAAATAAATAAGGACAAGTGACCAAGCACTATTAACAGAATACTACATAGAATAAAGCAATATAAATGCCTTGTTTGTAAAGCAGGCGTCTTTTAGCTTGGAGGACTATCATTGCGCGAGAATAGACACTTGTTTTCAAAATATAAGAGGAATGTATGTGTGGGATATAATAACATCACTCCAGTCCAGCCCAGTACCAGTCCTGCTGATTAAGTTCATGCAACAGTACTGTACAGCGGATGCCCTTCGCAACAAACGAAATCAGGCAGTTTGAATTCTCAAACGGTGCAGCCCCAAAGTCTTCAAATCTGACTGAGCTGAAAGAGCAAAATCACCCTTTTTCAGTTTGACCTTACACAAAAATGCACCAAAGTAAGAGTGGCATTTACCTTCTCCTAATTTCGACCACGGAGAGAACACCACAATATTTATATTTTATCTGTGCTCCTCAACAGACCGTTACCATAAATGTTTCAAAGGAAAAAAGATATTTTCAAAATCTGGTTGTCTTTTTCTCTCGACAGTCAATATGTAGGGTAAACCTTTCAAAATAACACACCGACGTGACGGACTAAACTACGCAGCTATACAGTGAAACATACTATGTAAGGTAGATAAGTTAGACCTTACCCCAAAATCCTGGAATGAGCATTCAGATTGACCGAAAGAGTTGGTTTCGTCCACCCGATTGCAATCCGTCTTTATTAGGACCATTTCAAATTCAACGCTTACCATGTCATCGACCTAGTCGCGAGGAGCAATATTCGTTTATTTTTGTCAAAAAATAAGATAATACAGTTACCTTTGCTTCACTTCTTTGAATGTGACTCAGTTTGTAATAGAAGTCAGAGGTGGTCAAAATCTTGTTTGCCTTCGATACAGCTAACTTTTGCAATTTGACAAATGCGTCGGAATTTATCTCAGTTTTTCTCATTGGGCGATAAGTGCCGGAGGTTGCACTTCGACCAGATAAATATTCTTCCTTGCAGTTGTAGATTTCAACATTTGAGATTCCTCCTTCGGACTCCGTAATTACTACTCGACACGAACGAAGCTAGATGAAAGGTAGCAGTTAAATGTCTAAATTCTTTGTAAGCACTAGGGAAGCGTGATACAAGTGATCCGAAATTTCAGTCTGCACATAAAACTACAGTTTATAGTCACCTGTGTCATGTTTATTCACCTGGTACCTATATCGCACATTATCCAGACAGATATCCCATCAGATTAAAAGTAAAATAATGGTAGTATGGAGAGATATATTTACTTTTGATTGAGGGAGAATTAGTCGATCTTCCGTGACGAAACGGTTAAGTTTTTGAAATACCGATCAGATAGATTGTGGAGGGTTTGAAACCCTCTGCCGAATGTGCACTTCAACAAGGATGCTATAACTTTACAGTGCTTATAGTCTTCTCGGTGCAGATTTGCTTTGCACCAGTCACTTATTAGATCACGTGTCACAAGTAGGTGGGACACACTTGCAACTTTAACAGACAACAGGTGCACTCCAATCTCCCACATTTTGTTTACACAGCTATCACCTGCGTCCTGTGCCATGCTTACGGCCTTCATTCACATTAGGTCCAGTTGTATTCATGCTCATGCAACGATCTAACAAAATGGACACCTCGCTCTTCACAATGCATGCAACTCGGTCCAACACACATGCGAGGAAGTCAAACGATCTCCACAAGTCTCCAGGGCCAACTATGGAACACGTGTAGCAGATGTAGTGCAGAGAACACACGTCCCACTCATGAAACCTTAACAGTGGTCACTTTTTAACCTATTCCACTTTTTGCATTGTATTTATTATTACCAAGGTGAACCATTCTAGCGAAACAGACACTTATCGCCTTCTGATAATCAATTTAATCACATTTACAACAGAACACTGGCAGCTTCACAACCAGGACAAAATCTCGGTTGTAAGTAAAAATAACTTGGTCCGACAACAAACGAAATTCATCTCTACATTCACCTTTGCATTCTTAGCACTGAGAATTATGTGGTTCTTACGAACCAATGTCTCCCAAGCCTAGCTACTATATGAGGCTGCCAAAAATCAATGAAAGTGAGTTTCCGACATTTACAAAAGATGGCTTGGGCACGTCTATCGTCAGTTTTATAATCGGGCATCTGATTAGTATTTCCCCATAAGTTAGTCCGCATTTCTAGCAGACAGTACCCTTGTTATATATCATATATATATATATATATATCATATATATATCATATATATGTGTATGTCATAGTAAAGCCGCTTGAAAGTCCGACAATCTCCTTTATCTGAAATTTTCATGTTTTAACATTTTGAAAGACGAAATTCCGCCACGAAAATCGGTGGAGATAGGAGACTGCTGAACTGATTGTTTAGAATCAAACTGTCGTCTTCCGTAAATAGATAAGTTAAGACATGCGTAAAATAGAGATTTCTTTCCAGAAGGATCATCCCCAAACGCGTACGACTGCATACTATGCCGCATAAAACAGGAGAGGCAAGTCGAGGTCGGAAAGTTTGCAGATTTCACATGATTGCAGCTGGTGTGTAGCCAGCGAACAGTTTACTTATCACAATGCTGAATATACTCACAACACAAGTCACACTATTGACCCAAAGTAAATTTTCCGGATTATTTACCGCTGCATTCTAAGGGATTTGGCTGGCTTTTCGTAAACAAAAACCTTTCCTACATATGCTCAGACCCCCGTCGCCAAGCATAGAAGACTGTTTACCGACCGCAAAAAGAGCACGGAGACCACCGACAGGCAAGAGGTAAACCAGACAAGTGCGTGACAAGTAGAATGCTGAGGAATGAAATTTCCCAGCATTATTTTATTTTCCTTTTTAACGCTGTATAACATACAGTCGTAAGCGTTTGAAAACGAAACCATCGAGAAGACATCTTTATCCCTTAACTCTCTTTTTGGAAGGAAGTGTTCAAAAAACCTAATTGTAGGTACTTACACAACCAAGTGTTGGATGTCTGTTACAGTGCCACGCAAGAAATGCTCTCAAAACATTTGTCTTCTTTACGGGTCACTCGAAAAAGCCTCACTTATATCACATACCCGTTCCATCCTTAAACATATATATGTATATAATACTAACTGCAAAGTATTCCCGAAGTTGCGTGATTTGTTACCTTGTTGACAGGCCATTCAATATCCATGTTGAGTTCGAACATCGCCCTAACTGCTTCCGTTTCTAACGTAGATGTGACGTGGGCATCCGTCGCGTAGTACCGTGTATAGTTAGGTGTGCTACTGAAGTAGGAATTGTGCACACGAACCGCGTGTTCAAGGCGACTCTGCCATTGTGGTTCTATGATTAGTCGCTCTGTGGGGAACTTGTTCCATTGAGCTATTGATTCCGTTGGAAGTTTGACGGAATGCGAGCAGTCAGACAGAGAAACTACAACCCATTCATCTGAATGCTCCATGGTATTTTTAACCACCACGTCGCAAATGATGTTCTCCTGTGAAGTCAAAAGATACATACATTAAGAAATTTGGCAGCTAGAATTGTAGATTGTTGCTTTTATTCACATTTTATGACAACTCACAGATGTAATATTTCGAAAGTGAGGCGCAGTCAAACTATGGTGCGTTTATTCTCACTGACAGGCAAAAAATCCATTGGCCAGTCAGACGTCACAAAAACCTCACAGCAGGACAAAATGCTATGATTTCCCGATCGATTCAAACATGTTCTATGTATAGAAAAAGTCGCCTATAATCACCGTACCGCCATAGCAACCGTCACGTCCCTGTTGGTTTAGGTGGAAATAACTTTCGTACTAATATGGTGCCATTCCAGGTATTCTCGTGCACTTTGCAGCTTGTGGCTCTCTGATAGAGGAGGATAGGATTTTACCCACCTCACTCGCATTGATAAGGTCTTTTCGACTTGTGATGAAACATTTACAATGCAACTGCCTAGCTCGACGCACGCATTAACAAGCAACTGCCGTAGTGGCCAGCACTGCATCTGATTTCCGTGGACATACTGATAGGGCGTTGTATCGTCAAGCCGCTAGAATAGAGCAGCTTTCCCAGATGTAACTAATTGAACGGACAGAAAATTTGCTCGAAGAGACTTATTCACACACAAGTCTGCTTGAGCAAAACGATGCTAGTTCACGAGCTAGCAGTTGGAAGATATAAAGTCTTCTTTACAGTGGGGATAACCATCTGCACAAACTACGAATTTTTCGCATTCGCGGTATGAGAGATGATGTAGGGCTGTCATAACTTGACTCACGCAAACAGTGGCCCACTTGTACTCCGTAACGCCGAGCACACTAAGCTCAAAGTCTATGGAAAGCAGTTATCGACAACACCTCAATGTGGGACAACGTCTGTAGTGTGAAAAACAGATCACACAAAAAAGGGTGTATGACTGCCATCATACATAGGCAAATATACATATATAGACCCAGGTTTCGTGGATTTTTCAAGGGATCAACATGTTAACAGTGTATTAGTATGATGGTGTATTAGTAAGAGAGTGTAGCGAAATCTGCATTTCAGTGGAAAAGTACCATGAGACTTGACTGAGTAAAGTGACTTCCTACGGCAGGTCCTCTCCAATTATCCCAGGTATAATGCAAATCAGAATATTGAACAATAATGCCTTCGACCGCCTGTAAAATGCAGCAAAAACACTAAGGCATGCCCACTTATCTAGTCTCCCAGCTAACGGGCTAAAATTGTAATTATACGGTAGGCTTGTGACCGTTAATTTGTGCACTCGTCAAAAGATCACCTGTGCCTGACTTTTACAATCTAATGAGGAAATTGTCTGCATCCCGAATGCAGGTCTTCGTAGAGCGTCCTACAACCTCATCATGCTAACCTAAAACCACCAAGACGTTTTGCAGTTCCATAGACCAAATCGGTAACCAAATGATCTTCATAGGGGCTCTGTGGGAATTGGAAAACTTATAATACAGCCCATCGCCTTGGTGCGGCCGAAGAAACACTTGTCTCTAATAGTAACCAGAATGCGTCACCATTTCCTTGACATTAAGTAGGACCTTAGTTTACGCAGTAGAAATAACTCGGAAGCAGCACTTCGGTCGAATAGCTTTCTCCTTCACCAATAAATTTAATTCACAAAATCGGTTGAAAACAGGTTAATGCTCACTGCATCTGGATCACAAGTGGAGTACATCGATTCCGACAGACAAGTGAACAGTTTGAATTTCACGGTCAGCTCCAGTAGTGTTGTATCCATTCCGTTTTCACTGACAGATCTCTTAATCCCACGATGAACTTCACGTGCGATGAACGGGGCTTCAAGCGGATTCACATCACTGAACTGTTCAGTGAGCAGTTCCAACATTCGTGCAAACCACGGTTCCGATTTTTCTTCCTCCGAGAGTGGCTTAGCCTTGGTTGACGACCGCAGTTCACTTTCCTGACAGTTATCTATTGCAACCCTCCATTCTTTAACGAAGAGCGTCATATTGCACCAAACGTTCTGAAATAATTGCACAGATACGAGTCACCGCTATGGAAAATAGCGTATCAACCGGAACCACGAACAACTAAATATCTGTCGTATTAAGTACAATAGCGCTACAGTCTTAGAGCGGTCTTATTTACTGAGTATAAACGTTAATAAGACCGCTAACTAAAGATAGAAATAGACGTATCCTACATGATGGAGTGAATCAATTCAGTAACATGAAATATCAAGGCATTGAGTCTATACTTAGGTGCAGCCTTTTTGTAGCAGCTAACTCTCAGCAGTCGAAAAGAAGGAGCAACTCGCCCCTTTCTTCTCCCATTATCTAAGCTGTGGCTGACTGGGATCACTACTTTTATCTCTCCGCGGAAAGCAACTCCTCAGGGAGAGATTCACTTTGGTAGGATGACTGTACTATGATGAATACCTTCCCAAAAGCACAACTCAAAACGACTTACAAGTAACCATAAAATGCCCGGGTGTCCAAAAACCACACAACTTAATGCTGAAGGTAACGGCATCTACCGGAAATTCATATCGACCTGAGGGCTATGGTTTACATAATAGACAACAAATCAGTACATCAGCGCTTGTTGTCCCTAGAGTGAGACTGTTGTGTGGTATGTGAGGTTTTCCGGCTTAAACATTGCGTTTTGAACGGACGGCATGTTCGTAGTTCCATTAAGCAGCTACAGCCAAATACAATCAGTAACCTGTGCTCTATTCCAAATCACGTCTGATCCTATTATGGCCTATATGCTGACAACACCATTTAACCATGTGGAGCTGACTCTACAGCTCTGATGGTCATTGCATCTAACTACAGTTTGTCCTTTGTCCATTTCTTGCCATGGCTATCAATGCACAGAACAAATACAAACGCATACATTGTGCTTCAAGTCTTAAGTGCTCTGCTTGACGTAATGTATCAAAATTACTGAAAGTAATCAAGGAATTACTGGAAAAGAGACCGAACCGTTCATACAAGAAAAAACATCCTACGTAATAAAAGTGGTCGTGCTGCATCACGAAACATTGGACACATCGCTTTCATTGGCTTCACGAGACTAGCACAGTGGTTCCCATATTTTGGAAGCATACTTGCAAACTTGTTGACGTTGCGTGTTGTGAAGATGTAGAGTACCGTTGCCACTGTTTTTTCACAACAGTTGAACAACCTGAAGTTCTGTAGCATTAGCATTGATTGATGGCTGCCTCAGATCAGTCAGATTTGACCGATCAGGCTGGAATTTAGCAATGCGTTAACTACTGGCCGCCCGTCGCTGCCACACTACTGGCTTGCAGGTCACTCAGTGTGGTGGTCTTGTCGAACTCACACGTCTTGGGAATGAAAGGCCCAGTTATGCCGCTAACGAGGGCACTTTCAAGCAAAACCATTGGCTCAGCTGAACTAAACAAAGCTTCTAAAAATAAAACTTAGGGCAGCGTTATACTAATAGCCTAGTGGGCATTTCGGTGCAAAGATGACCGCCACAAGGTAACCTAGTACTTGCCGACAGAAAAGGTCTGACAATGTTTTGAATGCACTGATACAATGCCCCAGCTTTTGAGTACCTGGTTCAAATTTCAACGAAGTATATCCTGATGAATAACTATGGTGATGATCTTTGGTGAGTTTTCCATTACACCATTTTTGCTGACTAGCTGCAGTATGAAACTATGGAATGTCAGAATAATTGCATACCAACCACTCAAAGACATCTTACGTAATTCGCAAAGTCTACAAAGAATGTCAGCGAGTTTAGGGTGGTCAGCAGTTCATTTAGCAAGGAGACATCTGAAATACGAACATCAACAGCAACCAACTCAGAGTTGAGAAACTGTCACATAAATTTCCAATCGAGGTAATTTGTCGCCATAGCCAAGACAAATGTACGAAGTTTCAGATTGGCGGCCGAATGTTCCCTTCAGTTCACAACTGCTTCAAACTTAACATTAGTATATGTACCGGGAAACGCACGGCATCTGAACAGCACTTTGGACAGGTATTGTACCGGTATGTCAAGATAAGTGTTAAGGTATATAAGTCCGCATTACCTGAGCAGGAGTTATCACGTTACGTTCTTGATTGTAGACCTTAAATGAATTTGACTGCCAAATGTTGACAAGTTTAAATTACTAACTGAACGAGCTAGGCGGTCAAAAGTTTGCACAGAGCACCTAATTAGACTAGGTGAATCTGGTTGTTGGAACTGAATATGGCTTACAAACCTTGTCCTCGTATTCCTGTATCTTCATCGTGTCTGACCCAAACGTGGGACTATTCTGGATCATAAACACCGATTGCGTTGTGAAAATAAAAGAACCATCGAGCTACTGTAGGTACTACATGTTTGTCTCCCATCTGAGTACAGCAACCTGATTATCGTTTGTCTCATATACGTGGGAAACATACTTAATAAATTACATGTATGGAGACTTTACCGTTTGTTTAAAATCTCACGATCTCGACATGACTTCATGTGATTAGCTGTACTGTCTTTCCTTGCACACGACTAAATAGTGAATGTCATTTGAGACGTATCATTTTAACGTAAACATAAAATGAACTATTAAATTACGTCCCATTTTCACTGACGCCAATATGGATCGAGGAGCTACCTAGTCTCCCTTCTCATCCCCGATTATCCATTCTTGTTCGCCCTATCCAGTGTTTGCACCTACCGGTTGTGGCCCTGAAAAAAATTTAGACTTAGAATCGGGTTCAGCAAAACTCGTGTAGTAGCCTCAAAAGCTGTATTTCCGTTTCAGCTTTCTGTATTAATAATTTACTTTCATTTTCGGTGATATTTTTCAATAATTCTAGACGGGTATTATCAGGACCTTTACAAAAACCCAGGTTGGCTCCTCTACCTTGGAGTTTGTTGACTAGTCCATTGATCACCCAGAGTAAACTGGAAAGTGCACAACAAAACCTTACAGTGAGGTAGATAATCAAATTTACGTCTACCCAGTGAGCATTTCATCCTTTGCTGTATTCTCCGTGAGGTTTAAAAAAAATTCTGCCTTTTTTTCAAAACTTTTCAAATACCCTTCCAGTTGCGACCAAATTTTGGGAAGATTCTTTTAGTCAGTAAATACTGACGTTTCTGTGAGCTTTCATCCCAGAGTTCATTTGGCTATTCTACTCTTTCTGAAGTCATTTCGATGTCTAGAACGCTTTCCACGTCAAAATTGTTAGATGCTCACATTGAGACATACCATACTTCTGTTCTTCTTCATAAGCCATGGCTTCATTCTGATAGCACTTTGTTGGTAAACCGTCTTTGTCTTGACTCAGCTTGAACAACCTCACTACTTTGACCTAAATATACTGCACTACCATATCCTAACCAGCAAAATAAAACCATGCGGTGATAGGAGGAACACTGAACAATATTCAGTTGTGTAAGTTTTGGTGACTTAATGGATGTACTGGTTTTTTTCAGCTCACTTAATGTGGTAATTTTTATTAAAAAAATACCTCAGGCAAAAAGAGCCAATATGACCAATGTGAGGACAAATGGTGTCCACAAAATATCAAATGTCACAATGTACATGTTCTCATAGTTAGTAGTTCCGGAAGAAGACAGATTAGTTTCGCCTTGAAAAATTTGGTAACCCCAAATTTCTGTGCCCAGGAACCCCAGAAATCTTAATCGCTCACAGGAGTGTCTTCCAGAAAATTGGCTAGTTTCATAGCCAACAAGTGAGTGAACTGCATACACCATAATAGCCCATTGTTCACAGATAAAACAAGGGTTGAATTTAGCGGCAATTAGCGGAGTTTTTGGATCAGTGGAGGAAGCGCCCCATCGTAGAAAAGGTCAGCATCATTGCCTTCAGGACTCACACTATGATTAGTTCCAATAAAGCAGATCACTGATGAAACTCATATGAATGCCCCAGTTTATAGGTCACCTACGCAAAGTGGAGATTTTTAGTATCGTTCGCACGCGCTGGCGATTTGTGTCCAGATTCAAGTAATTCTGTTTTCAAAAATTCTTGCAGGCATAACAGTGATAAGTGAATTGCCCCATGAACGGTAACGGATAGTGTATATTCTCACACACAAAATGAATTTCCTCACCTCTTCGATGGATCTTCCCGAATCACTATCCGGTTTGTATTCATATGGATGACGGAAAATGCGCTGGGAAAGGTTGAGGAATAGTAACATCAAACAGGTGTAAAGCAATATCCCACTCATCATTCATATTACAACACTTACTCAAGGTTGTTCACTTCACCATCTTGAAAACCTCTAGGATGCACGGCTCCAGTTGATTGCCTTTATGCGCCTCAAGAATTTTTATGAGAGTTTGTTGGCTTAGATTATTCACGTTTGAACTGAACTATAGATTCCAGTCTTTACTGCCTTAGAAACCAAAAATTCTGTCGATAAGCTAGGTCCAATACATCAACTATCATTGTGGGCAAAGAGCTGCTGGAATAGTTTACTTCGCGGTCATACTCTTGTAAGGTTGCATTTGTCTGCAACTGTCAGCCCGTTTAATCGGGCTGTGAAGTTAGTCCCCCATATAGACTGACCGAAGTTCGACAGGAGATATAAGACCAACTTTTATATGACTGATCTTAGACTTAATCTTAAACTGCTTGTACTTAATAAGTTCGTTTCCCGCGATCGTCTATGCGGGGATAATATAAAAGTCATTTACTATTCCCCGAAACTAACTTAGTAAAAAACACCGAACATTGTGAGCCACTTGGCACAGCACGGGTTTTATAGGAGGCCCACTATCCTTTTAGCGTCTACTCCTTTGGATCTGAATAAGTCTGGACCGTAGTCAGTCCAACGCCATACATCTGAGGGCTAGGCAATTGAGTAAAGCATTCAACATGCCATCCTAGTTTCACGCCAATACGCAGCGTCCTGCTTACGACAGGTTTACTCAAGAATGCTCATTGCATAAACCGTGAACGATGTTACGGGAGTGGACAACCGCAATGCGTAGTACGAGTACTCCGAAATTCCGAATGATTCTAAACAATGACTCTGGATATAGAATGGACTAATATTCCTCCTATTTTCAATCTGATAAGCTACTGCAAACCTAGTGAAAAAACCACGTCAGTTAGAAAAAGACAGCTACCTAATCACTATCATTAACCGGATTAATGATCCATGAACCAATTATTGAATAAAAGCAAGCAGTCGTGTATGGGAAACTAAAAATTCACCCGAACTGAATACCAAACATTGTTACTATGTCTGGACTAGCGAAGTCGTGAATAAAGTGTGGGAGACCTGAAGCGAGAATTATTGAGTGACTCCAGTGATGACTGGCCTACAATATTCTACAGAATCTTTTACTGAATCGAAGCACTTGATAAAAGCTCTACGACAGAGCTAACCAGAGAGTTGAGGAGTTTCTGAATAAAAACGGCTTACTTCGTAATTAATTCAACTTTAACAGCCTGCCTCGACTTTCTTGTCTAGTAAAATCACAGAGTACACCGACTACTAACTAGAACAATACTAAGCAGACACTTGGGATTCTTTTGTTGCCTGAAATGACGCTGTATCAATCTTCCCTCCTTAAATACTTTAAACCGTTAGAACAGCAACTTTGACAGCCCAAACGTCTGTTGATGTTAGACTGAGGGACTTTGTCCGGCTTTCAGGTCTGCCCTCTTGTGACCAGTCATCCATCCTTTAGTTTATCCTTCGGAAAAGTAAACGTGATGTTTTTTGTTAACGTCATCTTCTCTGTCAGTCGCATACTAAAATTTTTACGACGGTTGTCCCCAACGAGTTTTGTTCGGAACTCTTACATCGCTGAGCCTCAGGCTGTCATCATCACCTCCCTACACAGGGACACTGAAAAACGCTACATTGGGGGAAATTATGGGAGATGAATTCAGCGACAATTCTAGCATTACAGAGGTTTTTATTACACAATTCAGGTGGATAATAAGCTATAAAAAACAAGACAGTTTATTGTAGCCGGAAGATAACACTAAAATGAGAAATTTGCACAGCATTCCGTTTTATCGAATAAATTATAAAGTTGTTCTTACTACCTATGGAATAAAAACTAGTCTTTCGCAACAGTTCAAACTAGGTGTAAGTGTTTTTGCCTCGTGACTCTTATCCCTAATGGGAATAGATGAAAATCGATACTGAACGTCCTGATCAATGTTGCCTGGAAAATCAGGTGAAATTATTAAGGCAATACAAATGAGGTGAAAAGAACACATCGACGGAGTCCACTATGTTACCCCCATATGGCGTCGTACTATGGAATCCAATTTACGGGCGTATGGGCTATTGACTGCATGCAAAACGTGTGCGTAAGGCTGATAAAACGGCCAGTGCAGAATCCGCTCTCTCTTTCGTGGTTCACGGACATTGTTATTCTCGAAACTGAGGTCATTTACATACAGTGGCGTGGCTCATCATCACGGACAGCATAATATTATTGTTCACCAATGATGCCTTACCGCCGCACAAGTTTTGTTAGTTGTACGTGGGCTGGAATACTGCTGGAACGCCCAAACCTAGACAGGAGGACGATTAATGTCCTCGATCAAAGCCTTCAGCTCAAAAGCCCAATCAAAAGACAGTAGTATCTGGTAGGAAATGCTAGTGCATTACCAATTTTAAAAAACAAGCTGCCACGCATGTTCCAACCCCAAACCTGTCCCTCAGACCAACAACTCACCAAACTGGTATGACGCACTCTGCCAGTGTCATGCGGACATCCTCCGGTATAGCTCGATGTCTCACGGAGGCCCACCAACCGTTAGACCAGGGTAAGGTCTAGTCCCTAATTGACAGTGGAAACACTGATAGAAATTGTAAGGTGGATTTAGTTTCACCGGGATGCAAAACCAAGCCTGAATGGAAGTAGTATAGATGCCTAATTTGAAGCTCACTGATAGGGTGAGCAAAGAAACGCAGTTGCTTCATACCACATGATCATTGGTCGGAGAGTATATCCTAACTGGGTCTAATATGGGGTCTGAAACTTTTATCATGGTTTGGGTTATTTGCACCCATCTGTCGTTCTCTCTACGGAGCTGCATGTGTTATATTGTTCGTTAAGTTGACAGTTGATTTGCCCTGCGTAGAGCGGTGATATAAAGACGGACAGCGGGCAGTAAAGGCCAGGCTTTCTGACCGGAGTAATTATTGCCTTTCAATTTGTGTTTCGGCTTGCAAGCGTGATTCCCCGTCACACATCGCACTGCGATGGCTGTGCATACAAGTGAGAAGCACAGAATTGAACCAGTTGCAACGCATTGTCGGTTTGGTTCATCATGTAACAACAATCAAAATTCTCACTGCATTACCAACATAAATAAGATGATCACATCCTTGCCATCAGCAACTTATAAGAATGGGCACGTGACAGACAGCAGAATAACGAACTAGAACACCTTTAAACTAAGAGAGACTTTTGTACATTTCAATAACTGCGTTCCAGAACCAAACTTAAAAAGAGAAAACCCACCACGATGTGGCGTTCCTTCCTTTTTACAAGCAGCTTGACCGTGAAACGACGTATTTCATCCGGAGTAATCTATGGCTAAGAATAGGCAAACAATACAAAATCTACCTGCTTGCGCATATTGATGAATTCCTGAGGCGATACATCCAAATAACGATTGTCATCTTGATGTTCCCTCATGTAGGCTTTGCTGATAAGTGGAAAAATCCAGTTTTCATCCTCAGGTGAAGGTGCAATGCTCTCTTCAGTCTTTCTGAAGTGCCACGATAGTGTCCTCCCCATGAAAGTTGGATATTCAATCGGAAGGCTCTAAAGAGAGACGCAATTCAGAGGTCTAATTTCAAGTTAAAATTTTATCAAACGTATTTAAACTTTTTTAACGAATGAACTTTCAACATATATGGATTAGCTGTATTTTGGGCACACCTAGTACTTGAACTCAACTGCTCACAAACGTAGACCATTTTAGTTAAGTTTATTGCTCTTCAGCTTTGATTCACCTGAATACTCGCACAAGGTGCTCACTGGATAATACCTGTGGGTTCAGATGAAAGAATTTCCAACCGCCTAACAATAAGCAAACAGTTTTCAGCTTGTCTAAAGCCTAGTGACATTGTCAGGAAAACTGTGAAAAATTCCGATGGGTGAACCCATGAAAACTTACGGGATCAGGCATGTCACACACACATGCATCGCCCTTATTTTAACATATCTTGTTCGGAGTCAGTAAATAAGGCGTGCAGATGACCGGGACTTTCATATCTGTAGGGTTTAGTAAAGCAAAGCTTGAATTTGGTGCTTATTTCATTATGTTTATCGGCCGTAATAAGCATAGATCAGATGAATAATGTCAATACAAGTTCCTTCTACAACTACTCATGAGTGAATAAAATATCGATAGAGAGCATTATCGCAACTTACAAGGTCACGGATATGAACCCACTCAGCTTTTCTTGAAATCCGCAAAGCTGGTGATTCAAAATATAAATGAAAATGTTCTACATCACTCTGGGCTTTTCTATGGGACGGTGTAACTTTCAGGATGAAGCCAAATTTAAACAACTTGGAACTTTTCAGATTATCTACGAACTTTAATTAGGGGTCTGATAAACCCGTTAATTCCATGCCGGAAGACCGGAAGGTATCAATAATCTAACCCACTGTTACAAAAGGTTTTAGAAGCTTCAAACTTATCTGCATTACATTTTGACAGACCTTGGTAGCTTTTAGCAAATAATATTTATGCGTGTTTCCTCGTAGGATTTTACCAAGCTGTAGCCAAATCAGACTAAGAATGCACAACTAACATTCGAGCAGCGGACCTGAGACGTCTTCACTTATTTAAGTTTTATATGGTGGGGGAAATGTGGTGTTTGGTACATCTCACAGTGGTAGATCGAAGTGGATTCTTCCGTAGGTGCACTAGGCTACTCATATCCTGGAGCCTGTGGTGTACATATCCTGGTGTATATTTCCTTCGAAAAACTTGGATTATCTGACGTAGTTTCTCACGAATAATTCCCACACTTGATTAGAGCGCCACAAAAGATAGAATGTGTGACGTGCAACTAGACTGGATGAAGCATTGAAAATACCTTGCGGATCGGCACGAAACCACTATTGACGAAATTCCACCTAAATGTTGCAGCACCGTCCGGAACGTATATAATTCAACATCAGAATCCTCGTATGGTAAACAACGAAACCATCAATTCTGTTAAAACTCCTGT